ACACCCCGCAGGGTGGCCGAGGAGACGCCCCCCCCCAACAAGCAGGTGAAGCCGCTGTTCAGGCATTTCCGCCGCATCGACTCCTGTCTGCAGACAAGGGTGGCCTTCCGCGGCTCCGACGAGAGTGAGTGACCGGCTTGGGGATGGGATCGGATCAGTGCTGGGTGCCACGGGAGCAGCACGGGGGACAGGATGGGTGCTGGGATGGATGCAGGATGCAAGGATGGGTGCTGGGTGCCGGGATAGGTGCCAGGCACTGGATGGATGCTGGGTCCTGGGATGGATGCCGGGTGCCAGGATGGGTGTGGGGATAGTTACTAGGGGCCGGGAGGGGTGCCGGGTACCGGGATGGATGCCGGGTACCGGGATGGATGCCGGGTACTGGGATGGATGCCGGGTGCCGGGACTGGTACGAGGATAGGTGCCAGGATGAATGGTGGGATGGGTGCTGGGATAGTTACTAGGTGCTGGGTACTGGGATGGATGCTGGGTGCCAGGATAGGTGCCAGGCACTGGGAGGGGTGCTGGGTACTGGGATGGATGCAGGATGCAAGGATGGGTGCCAGGCACCGGGATGGATGCTGGGTGCCAGGATAGGTGCCAGGCACTGGGAGGGGTGCTGGGTACTGGGATGGATGCTGGGTGCCAGGATAGGTGCCAGGCACTGGGAGGGGTGCTGGGTACTGGGATGGATGCAGGATGCAAGGATGGGTGCCAGGCACCGGGATGGATGCTGGGTACTGGGATGGGTGCTGGGGACTGGGATCGGTACGAGGATAGGTGCCAGGATGAATGGTGGGATGGATGCTGGGTGCCAGGATGGGTGCTGGGATAGTTACTAGGTGCTGGGTACTGGGTTGGATGCAGGATGCAAGGATGGGTGCTGGGTACTGGGATAGATGCTGGGTGCCAGGATAGGTGCCAGGCACCGGGATGGATGCTGGGTACTGGGATGGGTGCTGGGGACTGGGATCGGTACGAGGATAGGTGCCAGGATGAATGGTGGGATGGATGCTGGGTGCCAGGATGGGTGCGGGGATAGTTATTAGGTGCTGGGAGGGGTGCTGGGTACCGGGATGGATGCAGGATGCCAGGATGGGTGCTGGGTGCCAGGTGCCGGGGTCCCCTCCCTGTCCCACCAGCAGCTGCAGGGAGCTGTTCCTGCTCCGTGCCTCAGTTTCCCCTCTCGGGGCTCCAGCATGTCCCCGGGGAGGCACGTGGGGTCCGTGGCGGCCCTGACACCCCCCCTCTCCCCAGTTTT